GCCTGCAGTACCTGCTGGAGCCCCTCCACCCCACGGTGCACACGCAGCGGGGCGCCACGGCCACCCTGCCCTGCGTCCTGCGTGCCCTGCCCCGCAACTACCGGGTGAAGTGGAGCAAGGTGGAGCCGGCCAACTACCAGGAGAGCATCATCATCATCACCAACGGGCTGTACCACAAGAACTACGGGCCGCTGAGCCCGCGGGGGTGCCTGCGGCACAGCCACCGCTACGACGCCTCGCTCACCATCACTGACGTGACTCTGGAGGACGAGGGGCGCTACCGCTGCCAGCTCGTCAACGGGCTGGAGGACGAGAGTGTCTCATAGTGTCTCACTCACGCTGCACCTCGAAGGTGAGGCTGGGCTCCCTCCTGCCGCATCCCCTGGGGATGTGGGGGAGAGCAGAGGGGGGACCCTGGACTGGACTGGGGGTCCATGGCTGGGTGCCTCCAGCCCTTGTGTCCCCTGTTGCAATGCCCCAGCCTTATCTTCAGCACCAAATCCCTCCATCCTTCACCCTCCATCCCTGTCCCCTCAGGCATCGTCTTCCCCTACCAGCCCAGCAACGGGCGCTACAAATTCAACTACCACGAAGCCAAGCAAGCCTGTGAGCAGCAAGACTCCCGCCTCGCCACCTACCAGCAGCTCTACAAAGGTGAAGCATCCAAAAAAAACCACCACAAACTACCCTCGTCCACCCCAAAATGCACCTCGCTGGGAGTGGGGAGGAGGCAAGTGCCAGTGCTGAGCTGCCTCTTGCCCCACAGCCTGGACGGAGGGTCTGGACTGGTGTAACGCCGGCTGGATCCTCGACGGTACCGTCCACTACCCCATCATCAACTCACGGGAGCCATGTGGTGGCCGTCTCCTCCTGCCAGGTGTCCGGACCTACGGGGCCAGGGACAAGCAGAAGGATCGATTTGATGCTTTCTGCTTCACCTCTGCTCTTCAAGGTAGTGCTGGCATCCCCTGTCCCTCTTTGCTGGTATACCTGCCACCCGGCTTTGCACCAGGGCTGGGGTTGCTCCCAGGAGGCCATCTGTGGTGGCCGTTCACCAGTCATGTCCCCATCCATCCCCAGGCCAGGTCTACTTCATCCGGGGCCACCTAAACTTCAAGGAGGCTGGGCAAGCGTGCCGGAACCACGGGGCTGCCATCGCCAAAGTAGGGCAGCTCTACTCCGCCTGGAAGTTTTCCCAGCTGGATCGCTGTGATGGGGGGTGGCTGGCAGACGGCAGCGTGCGGTACCCCATCACCACCCCCCGTGAGCGCTGCGGGGGGTTGCCAAACCCCGGTGTCCGTAGCTTCGGCTTTCCCAGCAAGGAGCTGCGGGCCTATGGCACCTACTGCTTCGCAGGAAAGTAGGAACGCCGGGAGGAGGGGTGGGCTGAGCGGAGGGGATGGTGGTGGGATGCTGGCCCTCGTCCCCTGGGCAAAGAGCTCAAGGCAGG